TCCCGCTGGCCTGCCTGCCTGCCTGCCTGCCTGCCTGCCTGCCTGCCTGCCTGCCTGCCTGCCTGCCTGCCTGCCTGCCTGCCTGCCTGCCTGCCTGCCTGCCTTTCTTCCTTCCTTCCTTCCTTCCTTCCTTCCTTCCTTCCTTCCTTCCTTCCTTCCTTCCTTCCTTCCTTCCTTCCTTCCTCCCTCCTACGAACGCATGCATGCACTTGCCTAGCTCTGCATCAACCTCTTCCACTGCTGTTGCCAAAGTGTGCCGAGAACGTTGTTGATTGCAGGCTTGAGCAAATGCGTGCCGAGCTGACGGAGACGCAAGCTGCAGACTGAGCATTCCCTTTATATAGTGCTGTCGTGGTGTGGATGATGGGATGTCAGACGATTCTTCAGTTTCGTGGCCTACAGCGACAATTGAATGGCTCAATGTGAGCCGCATTTGTCCGGCAGATACACGGGTCACATTCTGGGCATCAAGTGACCTTAATCTTGCCGTCATTGACGCAAAGAAGTACTTCAATGGCTCAGTTTCAGAGTTGGGGACTTCGACGAGCTGGACAACGGTTAGGCTGAATCGCCGAATCACCTAGGCCAACACCACCGAGTTGGGCCTGCCGCGCACGCTTGCCGCCCTTCGAGAAATGTTTCCGAAAGTTGGGCGAGAGAAACACTGCTCCAGAGAAGAGGTCCGAGGTTCATTGGACTCACGGATTGTTTGTCCCCGAAGGCTTGTTCACAGCGCGGGCAACTTGTGTACGAAGGCTGTTTCGGCACCGACTGATTGGCAGGGGAGCAGACCCGAAAGGCTCATTTGAGCCACAGCAGGCAGATCAAGGCGGGAATGAAGTCAGCACATTCAGTTGTTCTGGCCCAGTGCTTATTTCTTTTCAGCTCATTTGGCCCGGTTGCAATCGAATGGCTAGTTAAAGAGCAGCAGGCAGGAACACTGTGCTGACTGGCAGCCTGCATTTGGCTATGCGCTATAAGGGGCAGTTCCATGCATTGCACAGCATATGGGCCATATGGGTTCTTCCTGAAGAACATACTACTCTCTCCTAAGCTTCATACGGCCAAATCGTCTCAACATCAGATCTTGGTCGAAGGCATCATCCAATCACCTCAAAACTGCGAAGCAGCGAATGTGAGCACACGATTTGAGGAGCATCGCCCTTGCAAGCATGAAGCCGGGAATAGCGACAAGCTTGAGCTTTGGGCGAGAAGGTTTGCTCCAGTGCATGAGCGCAGCAATAAAAGCATACATTAAAGCCATGCCAAAAGAAAGTCGGGCTACTTGTGGATGCATGTGTGGGTGTGGGAGTGGGAGAGGGCGAGGAGGCAGATCTGCAACCCGCACAACCAGCCCAGGTTATTGGCCACATGCATGACGAAGCCCTCGCAGGTTTGACCCCGTTTTCTCAAGTTGATCGTTTACACCCCTATTCGAAGCTCTGTCTGGTTTGCGCGCTTCCCATTGCTGTTCCAGTGGCCTTTTCCAGGCAAGGCCCGACTTTTCAACTTGGGATCTAGCCAACTGGTGACCAACTCCCCACAGATTCTGAGATGACGAGCTTTGAGGCTGCAGTCGCTCCCGTCTTGCCATTCTGCAGGCTGTCAAGGATGGTGGCAGCGCTCTGCGGGACGCGTCACGTGGCTGCGAATTTGGATTTTCCCAAAGATAAGCTCAAGGGTGTACTCCGTTGGTGGCGACCTTGCCTGTCGATCAGGCTAGACTCTGGATGGGGCGAGCTGTTGAAAACCTTGGCTTATTGCTTTTTCATGAGATGTTAGGATACGTTTTGTTTGTTACATCAGGCACGAGCCCTTCCAGCCAGCGCATGTTGTGTGTGTGTGTGTGTGTGTGTGTGTCAGCGCATGTTGTGCGCTTTCATGCTTGTACTCCCCAAGTCCGGGGGAGGGGGTCCAGGCGCATTGTGCCGTGATTCACATTCAGCCCACAAGCAAGCTTCTTTCAGGCGTTGTTTGACACGCGAAGAGCAAGCATGAAGCATGCAACATCGCTACAAGCCCCAGCCAAAACACATTCTGCAATTGTGCTAAGATCTTCAATCTCAACACCCAAGGTGCTGTGCAGGGCTGTGCAGGGCCCGAACACGGCACTGCGGTTCTTCCTTTCTGCTACCCAACAGAGAGTGTGGCATGTCATGCTCAACAGTTATTCATATGTGTATTTGAACCACAGAGAAAAAACCTGACTCAGCTTGAAGCAGCAACACACACACACACACAAAACAAGTTCTCCCGAATGCCCCAACTCAGCCGAGCGGCGTGTGGGAAGACCCTTGTTCTTGGCGCCCAAACAAAGAATACGGTGCGTCGCTTTCTAGCCCTGTTCAACAGAATGGTTTGGGGGGCCACCCAAATTTCCCCGCAACAGCCATAAGGCCCGCCCAGAATGTGCCATGGGGAAGCAAGTAATCATTTGTTTGAGGATCATGTCACAAAAAGGTTCTCAAACTCATACCCCATCTTCCCCCTCGTAGCTTGCAATATCCTCCTTTAAGCGCGCACGGGATGTTGCCTTTAACCGCTTTTTCAAGGCATATGCAGGTGCGGGAATAGCATCTCAACAGAGTACTGCTATTTCCTGGCCCCAGCTTCAGGCTATCAGAGGTGGGTCAGGGGAAGGAGGATCTGCAGGCGGGACACCCTGCTTTGAAGCTGGTTGTCTATCTTTTATTTGGAGACATGGGGGAAGTCACCAAATTTCCCACAAGAACCAAGGGACTCACTTATTTTCACATGAACAAGTGATTTCGACCATGGCTCATATATGGATGATCCGGTTGGTCAGGGATGAGCCGAGCATGCAGGTGAACCCTAGGGCCAGAGGGTCATATGAGTTTGCCATCCAGAAACATGCGCTACGACGTAGTCTGTGCCAAAGTGGGTTTTTACAGACTGGGGGTCGTCACTTTGTGTATGGAGCACAACTTTTTGCTGGGTTGATTTCGGAGTATGATTTGCCCCCAAATCAACTGGCGTTCCATGCTAACATACCAAGAAGTGTTTCCCGTGCAGACGGGGATCTCCGTCTCGGAAGGTGCGTCCGTTGTGTGGACGTTGGGTGTGTAGGATGGCTTCCGCTGTGGCGCGATACAATTTTGGAATGCAGCGTACTTCGGAGTGTGGCTGTGCGTGGCTCTCGCATTTTCAAGTTTGGAAGCAATGCGATTTGTGGCTGTGTTGGATCACTTTGGCCACGCGATGCAGCTACTTTGAACGTAAGAGGCTGTTGTTGCTGCGGCCCGGAGGCCTTTTCAGTGTTTTCTAGCGAGAGATCTTGAGCAGGAACGTAGCAGGGTCCTCCAAAGTGTGCTTTTGCAAAGATCTTGCAGACCTGAAGGAGACCTTGGGGCTTTCCCTTGTCGGGCGGCTTCAAACAGATACTGTATGCGGAGCGGTGATGTTGCATTGATCCTCCGTGGGACACCTCGCGGATGGAGGCTTGCTGTTGAGTGTGCTCCAAAACGAGGTCCAGACTTGCTGCCCAACAAGCCTAAAGCAGACCTCCCAATAGCCATCGTAAATCAGACCGCCTTCAAGCAACAAAGTCCATCCCCACAATGCAGGCCAACCAAACCTAACAAAGAGCGGTTTTTCCGGTTTTGCAGTCCATCCCTGCGCAAAACCAAACCGAAAGAAAGAAAAAAGAAGAAGCGCCCTGCAAGCCTCGGCGGATTGAACACCGGGATCCGAGCCCTCGGGCCAGGCGGATCTGGAGCGCTTGCGGGAGATCGTGGCAGGCAGAACTTCGAAGCGTACGCCCATGGCAACGTGTGGCGGATACGTGAAGGAAAGGAATTCGCCGCGGTTCGCGAAGTTGACCTGCCAGGCTGATGTTTTCATCTGGGCTGAGTGTTGAAGTTGCTTTTGGACCTGAAACAGGCACTGCAGGGGGGTTTGGGGGGGGGGGTTTTGGGGAGGGGGGTGAGGGGGGGTTAGGCGGTTAGGGCTTTTTGGACCGCGGTGTGTGCCATCTTTCCAAAGCTACCAAGAAGTCCCCGACTTTCGACCCCTGGGATTTGCGACCCGAGCGGCCACTCAGATGCCGGGCAAGCGCACGCGGAGCGGCTTCGGCACGCCGAGGAGGCGCAGCAGACGAACCAGGCGCGGGCACGAAGCCGGGGGCACCGAGGCCGGGTGTTGGGAATGAAACGTTCTGGGATTCCCGTTAAAAAAGAAGAGGAACATATACAGGGGATGATTTTTTTGGGGGTCATTCCCACATTCCCTGCTGATTAATGAGCAAGTTTGTGACCATGGTTGCGAAAGGAACCGACTTGTTGGAATTGAGCGCTCCCCCTTGTCTATTTCGGGGTCCATGGCCAATGCGTGGTGCCAACCCTCCAAAACCCTCTATTTCAGGTGCATTGAAGGACCAAACTGAACTATAACATAACTCGCCCATGGCTTGGGCGACCCCTCAACTCTTACTGGATACTGGGTGCGGGAGAATCAGCTGTAAGGTGGGGCGATCCATCTACTTGTCATTCTCAGAGCCCGTTTTATCCAGTGCTGTGTGCGTATCTGTTTTTTTTCACCTGCATGCCTTTCACGTGGCCCGCTGTATTAGACACAGACGCCTCGCGCTCTTTTCACTCGGGCCGTCTTGCCAGAGAGTTACGTCCACGGCGACTTTTTTCTCAGCACCACCGTGTTGGCTCCCAGCCCAAAACCCAAACCCAGCTTTAGTGAAGGCCCTTCACCAAAAGGCGGGTTCTTCTTGGTCGGGGTGTTGGTTTCTTCCAGCTGGGAATTTTCGGGGACTCCCGAAGACCGGAACCCCCCGCCGTTCGGTGAGGCCTTGGAAGAGGAGGTGCAGATGGCGCGGGACTCCCTGAAGTTGGCCTGGGCCGCAACGAGTGGCTCAGACGAGTGGACGCGTGTTTTTGCCTTTCTCGCCATGGACGGATTCCACATGTGAGATGCGTTTGGAAGGGATTCGCTTAAAAAAAACCCTTTGTTTATACAGTTTTTCGCGCCATTGGCCTTTGAGCCGACAAGTTGGGCTTGATTTACTTGCACGATTTCGGGATGGATGTGACAAGTCCATAGGCCTCAAGGACTCGAAGAGAAGCAACCGGAGAGCCTTCACACCTCGATTTTAGCATGGCAGTTGTTTTTTGCCTCATGCTTCGGCCAAGCGTCTTGTCAATCACGCGCCTGGTATGCTTGGACTTGCGGCCTGATCCGCCGGCCTGCAGTTTCGCAGTTTCAGCAAAGTTGGAGATTGATATTTTGCGCAACAGTTCGCAAAAGATGAAGTGCGCCATGTCGCTCCTTGTCGCAACTGCGGCTGTGATGCCCTGGGCTGAGATGAGGGATGGTCAGTGAGCAATGCATTGAGGCGAACGAAGGGACGCTTCAATGTTTCAGGAGATATCACATCTGGGAGCAAACTGAACATGGAGCATTGCTGTGGGGGCGATTAGTGTGCAAGACGGTAAGGTCCAGCCACCCCATGCACTCCCGCTTGCCAAGGAGCCAGGCCTCTGCAGACAACTTTCTGCAACCGAGGCAGGGGAGCGTGTGTGTGTGTGTGTGTGTGTGTGTGTGTGTGAGAGGGTGTGTGCGTGCGCGCATGTGTGTGTGTGTGTGTGTCAGTTCTGCATGTTGAGTTGATCTTCATGAAATGGTTTGATTGTCAACGCGCTCCTCAAAAATCCTTTTTACTCGCTCTGAATATTCAGTGTTGTTTTCTCTTCAATATATTTTCTGAACCTGAGTTTGTGATTTTCCTCAATGTCCAAATATTAGACATGCTCATTGAACGTTAGGTTGTTGCTTACCATCGAATTCTATCTGGATAGTTCATCGTCGTCTCCAAATGACTCTCCAGAAGAAACGATAGCAACTATGTCTATCGCAACTTCCGGGAGGAAACGTTTTCGAGGCCGCTGTTTCAATACTGAGAGTTGGCCGACCTCATTGTGTGAAGCAATGGACTCTGGGGCTGTCAGGACCCGTGCCTGGGACTAGTCCTAGCTTTTGGAAGCCGCCATCATGTCGCTCCGGCAGTGCACATGTCAAGCTGGCTCAATTCACATCAGGCAAATGCCTGGCCTTGATTGACAAACTTGGCCCATGCCTGGTGACACCTTTCTGGGCCAGTCGTGTGGCTGTGTGGCCCTGTGCAACTTTGCAGCTCCGCATGGCTGCAGGCAGCTCCAGGCACCAGAAGTGGATGTAGATTGCCATGAGATCACCTACGCACAGTGCGTCGGCAATCTCTTCCAACAGCAGCTTGACTGAAGAGACCCTGGTTGTTCGGGTGAGCTGGCTTATTTGCAACTCCGATAGGAAGCGCAGCTTAAACAACCTATGCTCATTTGAGAATGCTTCACTTCAGTGTTTGAGAGGCATTTAGGAACCACTATTTTCAGACGGGGAGACACGAACACTTGGTGCGCTTGTGATGGGGAGTGTGTGTGTGTGTGTGTGTGTGTGTGTGCCAGTGTTTGTGTTTGTGCCTGTGTTTGTGTTTGTGCCTGTGTTTGTGTTTGTGTGTGCAGTGTGTGTGTGTGTGTGTGTGCGTCTAGTCTTGTCAGCCAACTCAGGCTGGTTGCTTTGCGGTTGGTTCCCCTAAAATCACTCATTGCAGTTTTTCTGCAATTTCAAATGGGATTCTATTATTTTTTTCGTGAGAAGATGCAACATTGCCTTTTCGGAAAGATCAACCATTCGAGGCTTTGCCCAGTTTTGGGAATTTCCGGTACGCTCAGTTATTCAAAGACGACCTTTTGTCCTTTTGGTTTTTCCTTTTTGGTCCTTTTCAGCAGAGGTGCCAACGCATACACACGCACACACACACATACACACACTCACACGTACGCCCACACGCACACGCACACACACACACAAACACACACAAACACACAACAACCACACAAAACACAGAAACACAAAACACACAAACACATACAAACACACACTCAAACACGTACAACCACTCACACACACACACCCACACCCACACACACACACACCCACACCCACACCCACACCCACACCCACGCCACACCCACACACACACACACCCACACCCACACCCACACCCACACCCACGCCCACGCCCACACCCACACCCACACCCACACCCACACCCACGCCCACGCCCACACGCACACGCACACGCACACGCACACGCACACGCACACGCACACGCACACGCCCACGCCCACGCCCACGCCCACGCCCACGCCCACGCCCACGCCCACGCCCACGCCCACCCCCACGCCCACGCGCACGCGCACGCGCACGCGCACGCGCACGCGCACGACGCACGACGCACGACGCACGACGCACGACGCACGACGCACGACGCACGACGCACGACGCAGGACGCATGACGCACGACGCACGACGCACGACGCACGACGCACGCCGCACGCCGCACGCCGCACGCCGCACGCCGCACGCCGCACGCACCACGCACCACGCACCACGCACCACGCACCACGCACCACGCACCACGCACCACGCACCACGCGCCACGCACCACGCACCACGCACCACGCACCACGCACCACGCACCACGCACCACGCACGACGCACGACGCACACGCACCACGCACCACGCACCACGCACGACGCACGACGCACGACGCACGACGCACGACGCACGACGCACGACGCACGCACACGCACACGCAGACGCACAGACAGACAGACAGACAGACAGACAGACAGACAGACAGACAGACAGACAGACAGACAGACAGACAGACAGACAGACAGACAGACAGACAGACAGACAGACAGACAGACAGACAGACAGACAGACAGACAGACAGACCAGACAGACAGACAGACAGACAGACAGACAGACAGACAGACAGACAGACAGACAGACAGACAGACAGACAGACAGACAGACAGACAGACAGACAGACAGACAGACAGACGACAGACAGACAGACAGACAGACAGACAGACAGACAGACAGACAGACAGACAGACAGACAGACAGACAGACAGACAGACAGACAGACAGACAGACAGACAGACAGACAGACAGACAG